CTCGCATAATGCCACTACTCGGAATTGACCGCTGTATCTGAAAGGTAAATGTCTGCATTTGGTATCGAGGGGGTTACTTCGGCAAACTTTTATGTAGTGAACTGGTACAGTGACCTTTGCTGGAACCCCAACCTGCCATTTAATCCACGACAAGTTTTCTGTGGACACGTTTGGGGTGGATACTTGTACTTTTCTGAAGTCAAAGCCAACAAGGCTTTATTTTTGTTGGCCTCATAGCCGCTTAGTGACTGAGTGCACAAGTTAAAACACGTGAAGTGTATATGCGTACCAGCCATTGGGGAAGCTCATTTCCGAGCCCAGAGAATTAATAATTTAGCAACACCAGCACTGCGTAATTATGGGTCAAAATCCTAAAGCCCTAGTAAATGTAACTTTTGCGGAAATTCTGATGGGTGCAACCAACTTTGCGCATATTCACTGATTAATGCAGGGAACACCTAGCTGACGTTTATCAAACCAGCCACGAGTAAAAAGCGCGCAATGTTATTCTTTGGCGGAGTTGATTTACTTCCATCCGTTCCCGGCCATTGCTGATACACGCTTAAAAGACAAGAAATTTTGTCCACTTACCAATGGGCCCGAAAAGGAGAAGCCCGACGCTTTCGTTTGTATTACATTTCTGGATCATCTTTGTCCTAGCGGCTACAGAACATATAGCCAACACCATATCACCCTGCTTGTAATAGATGTCTTTTTGAGAATCCAGTACACTTCTGCTTTTCTTACCTTCTGGTGGTGAGGAGTACTAACTGGAATATGACGCCGCGGAACACCTGATGGACTAGCCCATTCCAAACAGCCGAACAAAATTTACTATTGCAACAAACGCTAGACGCCTTGGTTGTTCGCCTATATTGTGCAATGTTGGACGAACTTAATCACCAATGCATTGGTGTATAATGTGTTTACACATCTGCATCATGGATGCTGTCGGGGTTATTGAGTTTGTAAATTTCGCACCACTGGAGTTTAGTCACCAATCTCAGTAGGTTTGATACAGAAATTAACACTTTAGAATGTTGGGGAAACGGTACCAGACAAAAACAATACCAAAGGCAATTTAAAACGCCATGAATTGCCTTGATCCCACCTTACAAAAGCCCAGAAAACGGGCTCAATCACGCTGACACGCTGCTTCAGGTTATATGTAAACAAAAATGAGGAGTTAATTAAGACACAAAGTTTAGCTGTCATGGAAATAAGACAATTTTAACATGCATTTCAAAGGCAGGCTTAGATAAAACAACTCAGATTGCGCCCGTGACATATGGTATTATCGTTAAACTCCTGCATATGTGTTGCTTGCCACGGCGGGCGCAGCGTGAACATTTGGAGGACGAGTTATGCCGAAAGTCCACAGGGGTGAGAGTAAGTATGGGCTCTCATACAAGCCACATGGCCATGTAAATTTTTATGGTGATGATAGTAAATCTGTCACCTTTACCGGCACTTTCTGGGTGTGCATGCCGTACAAGGCGGAGAGAGTTCTTCGGTAACACAATTCGAAGTGCTGCATCGTATCACCTTAGAGCAGGCTACATTATAATCTACCTGAGTTGCTTCACCTGTGCTATCTTAAGCTGTACCAGGTGATTGTTTTTCGAAGCTTTTCACGGCCTAGCTTCACAACCACTTCCCACATCTTCGGGCGACTTTGCGTCCAACACCAGCTTTGGGTCTAAAGGTGAGTGGTTTATCCACGGAGAGCAGTTCACCACCACCGACAATGTCCTCCAGGATAATATTGATCGTTCTGCTTACTGGGTAGCCATAAAAACACCGCCACAATTACTGGCCATCTGTATACCCGCAAGATATTTACCTACCTTAGTTTATCCTGCGTCACGCACTGTGACTATCCGGCGGATGTCTTTAGTTTGCAGTTCTCCGGGAGATGGTGCCAGCCACACTGAAGCAAAATAAAAACGAGCATCTGGAAACAAACAAAATAAAGACCATTGATCGAGGTTGTAATAATAATGATGTTTATTAAAAACTGATTGGTTGCATATTTTCGGGTATACCACAGGCCACTGATCGACTCTATGAGTAAACAGGTCTCTTGTGTGAGGGAGCTGCAGTACACCAGTTTTCCCAAAGTAGCGACCTTAAACGACCAAACCACTGTCCGTTTGATGGTGAACACTTCTTTGCTGTAGCCAACAGTAATGGTAAGCAAACAAAAATGCATCCAGCGGACGGTTAAGCAATCCATACTACGCTTCAGGAACTTAAGCAACTGCTCAGTCCATTCGGTACTCTATAAAATACTATATCTTCCAAATACCAGTCTGTTCATCCTATCGGCGTCCGTGAACTTTTGTTCGGAGTAGGTTTTAGCCCTCGAGCGCCCACTGCTTTTTTCAGGTTTCAGTGGTCAGGCGGAATCATTCATCAGTGCCTTAAGTATAAGGAAAGTGACCAAAAACGGAATTTTATCCGCATTCTGAAGGCAGTAAAAGGAGCCGAATACGAATTCCTCTGATAGAGTGTCGCCAGCGGCGGCAGTGATCCGACGCGGATTTTGAACAGTTGAGTTTCCACAGTGCATAAGTGACTTAATCACGGACGGGCAATTAGAAAACGCTTGGAACTATCCGCTCAGCAGCAATGCAACTGCTGGAACAAACTAACTGGTATCACGGCGAAGTCGCGTTGCTTCATGGGGGCCAGTGTTTGCTTGTCGGCTAAGGCTGCAGATGTCCTATCCAAGCACCCGAACTCTCTCTTTCAATAGGTACTAGACAGCCTTGAGCTTGGCTTGGCCCAACTCTGCGGAAGTGACACGTAAAACAAGCTCGGTCAACGAATGCGTACACTTTTTGTTCAAGAACCGGCTGATTTTAACGCGGAGGTGTTTGCCGACTACCTTGGCCGCCCAGCAGAAGTAGACCAGAATTACTTTCGCCGAAACTATGATATTTGCAAAGCTGCGAACTTTACAGCGAGCCAGTTTAATATCCTTTAGCGGGGTGTAGCTCATGGCATTTTGTTCAAGATAACAGACAACCACTGATTTGCACTTTATTAATAGTTCACGAGAAAGGCACGACATCAAACAGTGGCATATTTTGGCGTCCCGCGGTGTTCTTTAAAAGTGAAATAATATCTACAGAATATTCATTTAAAATTTTACCCGGGTTCGCGGGTGAATAGAGTGTGCCTAATAATCCTCAGAAAACTAATTAAATGAGTTTGTACAGAGAACTCGTGGACAAAGCGGTTCTACAGGGAACCAGCCTTTTATCTGGTATTACATTGGAGTACTACTTGGTGCGCGACGCGGGTGTCCTCTGTGTGACTGATTCTCATTCTCAAACATGCACAGGTAGTTACCATAGACTGCAGAATTATGAGATATCTGTATGAAAATTACAAACATAACGATAACTTTCGCATTGAAAATAATTAGGCTTCCTATCAGGAATATGGCTTAAAGCCGAAAGACGCTGACGTAAAATAAGGTCAAACATCGTCGGCCAACATGATAAACTCACGCGCCGTCGCATACCTTGTTTGGTCATAGTAACTGCCGGGCCCGTGTTTGTGCGACGCTGATTATGGGGCCCCAAATATACACAACAGCCTAGTCAAGCAGCCAAAGGTGTTCCTCCAACTCATACCTGTTTGCGTTGTCATCTACCTTGGATACTTATAACTACTGCCAAGCTTGTACACATAATAATAATAATAATAATAATAATAATAATAATAATATATTCNTTGTGGGTGGCATACCGTCTGGCATGATCATGCGTTTACAGTCAGGCTGGGGTATGATAGGGGGATTTGCGGGTAGTGGGGATTGCGCGAAAAAGAGACGATGTCATAAACAGTGGGAGCTACATGATTAACTAATAATAATGTGTCTTTTGCAACTTGTAGGGAACAACAGGCATGAAGTCCGAATAATTCAGAGACTCGGTCAGCTGACATGAATTAAAACAGGAAAACCATTGCTGGCCATGAGTGACCTTGGGCGGTTGGGTAAATGGTCGGAGTCATAACGAGCAAAAGTGGAGGCGGAGATGGAGTAATTCGAATTGGGAGAACACGGCAAGTTTGGTCCCAAAAATATGGTGCAATCTGAGAACAAGCAGACTCACTGGTTGCACTGTTGCTGGAAAGTCAGGTGAAGGGGTTAAGTTGGATGGGGACACAGAAGCAGTTGAATTCGAACGAGTAGTCCCACAGGTTGGAATGAACGTTGGAATGAATGAAGCCAATATGGGATTGTAGGTTTTCTTGTTCCGCTTGGTGATCCCGGAGTTGTAGATCATAGGCCAGGTGGAGTGGAGATCAGCCAACCAGGTCGTCCAAAGCGGGCACTTCCGAAGTTCAAAGTTTGGGAAGATGAGGAGAGATTCGCAAAACATTGTGAGTTTGGGGGGATATAAAATGGGATAGTATGCATTAATTTACACAGAAATAAAAACTTGGCGTCTGATGCAAATAAAATGATGACAAGTGACTACATGGAGTAGTAAATAGATAGATTTGTACTTAGTAGGCTAGCGACCAGGGGCTGAGTTTGCTAACATACGATATTATATTACAAGGGGTCTAGTCAAAGCCGATATAAGCGCACAGAAGCGTGGTATGGGAATCAGATGTGCAATGGCTGGCTGGAATGGACTCCTAAGCTAACTGGTTAATCGAGTGTTTATTACATGAGTTGGATAATACCAGGAGAGAAAGTGTGTGCTTAAGAAACTGTCGCCAGTCCCCGAAGAACTGCTCTCAGCTCTAATCTGTAGGTGATGCTTAGCGATGAAGACTTTCGTGTCTACCACTGGGATTGGTGAGTAGATGTATTATCTGTTTGGATGACGGAATGGGCCTTGGTGTGGTGTAGCCTCTGTTCTGACGAAAGCAGATAAAACTATGCTCGCCGATGAATGCCATGGGTATTGCAGAGTATCTTCGGGCTATCCCAAGGGATCTTATAATTTTCTTTTTTTCTTCACTTTTTTTTACAGATAAGAGGCCATTTTTTATCTGTGGTTTATGGCATTGCCAGTTGCATAAGTCTACCGAGGCGAGCCAAACACCAGCGGCAACAAACGGAAGTCAGCAGTACTTTCTTTGATTTCCTGAATTTAAAGGCCAGACTCAGAACCATCGGTGATGGGCGATGCACCCGTGCTACTGGAGAGGTGGCGGGTATACGACTCCCCAATGGTGCGATTTAACAGGGCGACCCTCCCTGTAGGGCGTACCCGTCCACCACACTAGGTTTTTCTCCCTCGTGCATGCTACCAGATCTGCAAGGTGGAAAGTCATCCAAGCAGTCAAAAGTGCGGTTTGGGCGTTAATAAATACTCCAGCTACCATTTATTGGTCGGGGGAATGCAAGGCCAGTAAAGACAGCTCAGTCAATCCGAACAAGCAGCAGCATACAGACGCTGGTAGAGGCAAGTCGCGGAGAATAAGTGAAATGACAGCTGTCAATGAGTCGGCGGGACTGGAATGTTGATATTCACGGCAATTGCACCATGGCTAAACGGCGTCGGAGCGTGGTGTGGGCTGCCACGTCGGGCAGAAGCGTACCGCGATATCGTGTGTGGGAGGGTTTAGTGGAACCAATCATCAAATGGATATTTATAAGCGCAGAATGCGCTCTGATAATGAAATGAAGAAATAAATCGACTTTGGTTTGGTTATTATCAGTTAGAGTTAGGCTGAAAGCACCAGTTTCTAGACAGAGCTGACAGAGTAATCCGAGATAGGGACTCAACTAGGACGAGGCATTAGTTGACTTGGTAGGAGAAAACAACCAGGCCAGTAACACAGCATAATTAGAATTAGTAGGTGATGAAGTCGTGCAGTGATTTGGGGAAGAAATAGCTAATTTTGGTTTGGCTTTTGTCAGTAGAGTTTGGACGAGAACAATAGACGCTAGACAGAGTTTATAGATTTCATTTTATAGTTTTCAGATTAAACCACATTTTTGAGACAAAACTTGACATGTGCTCCCAATTTGAATCAACCCATCTCCATCTCCACTGTTGCTCGTTGTGACTCCGGCCATTTACCTAACCGCCCAAGGTCGCGCATGGCCAGCAATGGTTTTCAGTTTTAGTTCATGCCACCTGACTGTCTTTGATCTAGTCGAACCCCATGCCCATTTTCCCAAAAAGTTGGTAACAACCTATTATTGCTATATCATCAGGAGTTCCCCATGGTTTGTGACATTGTCCTCTTTTTGTGGAATCCGTACCCCCACAAATCCCTCAGTCATGCTCCATTCTGACCGTAAAACTATGATCATGCCAGACGGTATGCCACCCACAAGCTGGGAATAAACATTATTATTATTAGTCCGGCGTGGGAACTAGACTAGTACGAGGTGTAATTTGGTACGGGGAAAAAGGGAAAAAAGAAAACAATCAGGCCAGCAATGCTGCATATTTAGATCAAGTTGGCATTTAGTCCTTTATAAGCTTAAAACGGGTCAAGAGGATGGGAAGAAATGATAGCAGGATCCTTTACTCGCCTACAAACCGTAACGTCGCTCAACTATTATGTGCACTGGACCTGATTCGTAGATGATGTCAGAGGGCAGTTGAGTATTAAGTAAGGCGGCAGCAGGTTCACAGGTAGGGAATTTGTCTACAGACTGAGAAAAAGCATGGTGATGCGTGATGCTTCGCAGCTGCTCAGGAAGGCTGTTCCAGACGCGAGCTTAATAAACTAGAAAGAAGTAGTGGCGTAGGTTTGTGCGAGCTGGGGGACACACCCAGAGATTGCAGGAGTTGCGGAGTCTGTAGTGAGGTTGTGAGTTTATGCTTGGTCTAGCCTCTGCTATAAAGGCGTTCTTGTGCAGCGAACGGTGCAAGAGAGCTAGATTCTATTTTAACCGTCTGAGCCATGGTGGTTCGAGGCCTAGGATTTGACAGCGGGAGCGGTAAGAGGGAGGGTTTGACCGAGGAAAGAGTTTTTTCGTAAATGAGCGATGGACGTTTTCAATTGCGAGTCTGCAACTTTGGGTGTGGAGGGAGGAGGACGAGGGACAGAATTACACGATTGGTCATACGCATAGCATAAAGATTGCAACCATCGTGTCTGGAAGGTGGCAGGAGCGCAGTATTAAAAAACTGAACCTGCGCGCTCTTCAACCTGAAATTGCACCTGGTGGGAAAAGCTAATAGTACAGGAGTATCCGAGGCCGAGATCTTTGATCTCCGTGGAATAGCTGATAGGATTTCCATTAATTGTGAAAGTTTCAGCCGGAAGAGAGCAGCGGCAGGAAGTTGTGCAGGATTTTGTGAAGGAGAAGCTTAGGCCAGATTCGTTTGACCAGCGAGTCAGTGAACCTAAGCCTTGCTTAATCTGGTGAAAATCAAGGGCTTTTTCAGAGAAGGGGAAT